CATAATATAGACTGGGCCAATGAGCGAACTGCATGGGCTCTTTCATATCGAAATTCACATTGAAGCACGATGGAAATTTCCCCTTTAGAAAGATTGACAAAACCAATTTGCAATGCCATTCAAAACAACTTCTAAATGATATCCACACTCCTATCGTACATGACATGCTTGGAAAAAATAACCGTTAATTTAGTCGTTGCACTTGAGATTGTTTAAAAAGAGAAACTTTTACATTCTTTTATTATAAAGCATTCGACCTATCTTTGTATCGTCGAATTCGCGCCGACCAATTTTTTATTTCATATATGACATATANGACCTATCTTTGTATCGTCGAATTCGCGCCGACCAATTTTTTATTTCATATATGACATATATTTGAATAGAGAGGAAAAAGATAGTGTCATCTTTTTTCATGTTTCGTTCATTTCATAGTTAGTATACATTTTAGAGCAATGCATCATTGTTTTCATCAATGATTAAAGTCACATAGATGAAATGAATGTGTTTATATCAATAAATGCTTTTCTAAATCATAATAGAATTTATGGAAGTAAAAATAAATATGAGACATCGATTAGTTCAATTGTTTGATTTACCTAATGAAATTCTTATAATTATCTTGAAAAAATTGTCCAAGGTCGATATATTGTATTTGTTGATAGGGGCATCGACAAATGACTCGATGTACTTGTTCAAGATTCAATTTTTACAAATCATTTAACATTGGTGAGATTTTTCTCCAATAATTCCATTCATCCATTACATGATTCAATGCTTGATCGATTTTATTTAGAAATCTTACCAAAAATTCATAACTAGCTTCATGTTGAATCATCATTTACGGAGGGTATTCTTCTAGCTGCAAATTATTCGAGCTTATTTGGTCTCGCTTTGTATAAACATCTCTTTACTGGTAAAATATTTTGATTTGCTTGTTTTAATTGTGGAAGAAATGAGACGTATAGGAAAAAAAACTTGTTAATCCATCCTCATCGGTACTAGAACGCGAAACGAAAATCTTCAGCAGATGATTCCTTCTTTCGAACAATTATCGATCGTTAGAGAATCCTCTATTTTTTTGCTCTTCGCTTGTTATATATTTTCGTTTTTTCTTCAGTTACTATTATTGTTATACTCCTAACAGTGGATTTAATCGATAAAAGTCTTGCAAGTACAGGCTCTGTGAGACTGGAAGCTCGAGCACATGCTCTTTACCTTGATGAAATTAATATAAAATACGCAGAGTTAAAAAATCACTCCTAAACTATAGCTGTTTTTCTAGATAGTTGATCGCCAAAGTAAGAATCTCTTATTTATTTCAACATTTCGAAGAGAACTTTTTTTCGGGTTTTATTTCTGTCTCATATTGTTACTATTTCCTCGTTATTTATCATATTCGTATTATTTTTCTTGATTGAACAAAACTGTTTGTCTAATCATTGACTTAACTAACAAAGAAGACTTGTAAATGTCCTATTATCGTTTATAAATCGCAATCAACTTAAAAATGGAGACAGTTTATTTTTCGAAGTTATAAATTGATTAAATCACTTTTTTCTCATGTTGATCAACATGGAAAATGTGAAAAATCGATGTATCAATGCTCATTATCGTTGATATATTAGAGGGATATTTTTATCTGGATAAAAATCGAAATCTACATTAGTTTAAATATTGAAAAATCAATTCTAGTCATTCAAGTTTCGACAAAGACTTTAAAGGAACATTCTAAATTTCTCTATAACAGTCATTCTCATGTTGTTGATTAAGTTCAATTCTTTTTCCTGAGATTGATTATGTCTGTAACGGTGAAAACTTGAGATGGGGGTGGCGAAAAATTTAGCTTCCTATTTTCTTCGAAAATATGTGTAAGCTCCAAAATAAGCCTCCTGTACACATTTATGATATCTATAGGAGGTTATAGCATTACCGTTATGTGTCTCAATAAATCCAAAGAAAAGCAGTCATATTAATTTGATTATTTCCAAAAGTTCTAAATTGATCAGTTTTTTCTTTCTATGTTGATCATATGATGGCTGACAAATCAATCGTCATTATCTATCATGCTTGATATCTAATTATTTGTTGACATAAAAAGTAAAAAATTGCTATTTAGAACATTGAAAAATCATATTTCTGACATTCAAATTACAAAACAAACTCTGCAATGTCCTGCAACAGTCTCTGTCTTGCCTTTAATGACGTTATGTGGCTCTTTCAATTTCAAAAGAACCATTGAAAAGTAGCTTCATGCTTGTTCTCCTTGGCTGCTAGTATAGACAATTACTATTATATAGGCTTTGACATCGGTTGTTAAGGTCTTTCTAAAGGTATAGAAGAGTCTAAAAACGTCGACTTGAAATTTACATTCAATATTTCCTTCGACAATAAAAATATTTAGGTTTGATAAAAGTGAACCGAACTATAAATAAAATTGAGTAAATCATTGGATATTCTATTCATGAGAAATTAGTTCGATCGTGAATTTATCTTTGAATATAAATTATGAATTGATATTTTTTGAAACACATTCTAAAAGGAGTGTATAAGGGTAGAGCTTTGGGACCTCATCTACAGATTGTGACAGGTGGACTCGACAGGCTATCATACATCCTATATTACTGAAATCTTATTCGAATTTGTTAACTAGCTTATTGTGGTTCCGTACTCCTTTTAGGTCGTGTTTCACATTTTAATACCGCACATACTACGCTAATAGATTTTTTAAACTATTTGTTTATTTGAAACATTTAAAATATAAATTTCATATAAACAATTATGAAATAGAATAAAAGGAAATGAAAAAATATATCACCTAGAACACTGAATAAATAATGATGCTAAGATTTTCAATAGAAATGAGTTTGAATGCTATAGAATTAATTTATTAGATCTAAACAATTGATGTTAAGTAGAGTCCTGCAGGTTAAGACTTTTTTGTACCCTAACCCTGCCCTATCGTAAAACTTCGTACCCTTGTCCTGCCCTGCCGGACGACGTTCTTACCCTAGCCCTATAGACTTCGTAACCTTGCCCTACCCTGCCCTAGGGGCTTTGTACCCTTACCCTACCCTATCACAGAGATTTTTCATTTTACACCCTATCA